AGCTACGTACATTCAATTTGCCCCCAAAAAAGTCGATGCCCCCCGTCACACGCGTCGTTTCAACCAGACAGCCAGACAGCCATTTGTAATCCATAGGTGGGGGGGAGGGGGGGGGCAGAAAATGTTTGGAAACCACTGCGGGACGCAGAAGAAAAAGTTTGGGAACCACTGTTATATACAGTAACAGATTCCATATTGATTTCAAATTGATAATTTAATCATATCTTCAGGGGAAGAAGGAGAAAAGCCCTATTTCAGGTCAAATTATATGTGATAAATGGGCTACCAGATTTCATAAATAAATTGAAGTTAAAATTCAGGTGTTTCTGGCAAATTGTTTGGAAAATAGAGAAACAAAATTATTATTCCACCACCAAAACACTGGATAGAGCAACAGGGGGAGGATTCCCTGTGACCTGATGACATTAATATGTTATCCAGTGAAGGTTCTAGATATTGTCTAGTCTTGTGAATTGTTTATGCTCATTTTATTCTGCTGATAGGTTTTTCTCTATTGTAATTTCTGAATTAGTCAATGTTATCGAAATGCTCAAGCAATTTTGGTTTAGAATCAGACAGAAATGTTGTATTATTTTTTATTAACAATGTCATATTTTTGACATGTTTGATCACTTTGAATATATTAGTTTAGTTGTAACAGGGGGGCTGTGGACCGTTCACGCCTTGTTGTCCCAAGCAACCAGTCACACCGACCCCACCTAATTGTTTGGAACTCTGATTATCCTGAAGTTGCCCTGTCGCTACAATGCCAGCTACATGTCCACCTCATCTTAGTCTTCATATGGTTGCTGTAGAAGATGACTTGGGAACACCTGAGCTTCCAGCGGGCCACCCTGGGGGTAATCAAGGCCAGTCCAGTGACCAGTGAGTTGGTGATGATCAGCCTGGATCTGGTGAAGATCTGGCTGTTGGTGATGAGCATGGAGGTGACGAAGAACTTCATCCAGGTTATTCTGACGTCTCTGATAGAGGCTGCAGAGGATCAAGGACCATCAGGCGGTCTCCGGGTCCAAAGCCATGACCTGTGAGGGAACCAACGACAGCACCGTGATGAGAGGACTGTCTTTGGAACCGGCCCAGACCGGGCACGGCATCAAGGGGTTCCAAATGGTGGTGCATTTGTCGTGTTTGGCCACAGCCAGTCCATGCCAGGAGTAGAAAACATGTTCAGCAAACCTATGGAGAAGCAATGCACTGACACTGTGGTCACTTTGTTCAAAGTACAATAGTAAATTTTAGCAAAAGACATAGCATAAATCTCCAGAAGAAGCTGAACGTTTTGATATATGAATTAGTACAATTAGTTGAAGTTAGTAGAAGTAGTTAACAACCAAAAAATGTGAGCAGGGTCTTAATAAGTCTTAATAAGGATCTTAATAAATGCATTGAATGCATTCTCACTGATAATAATATAAAACCAGCGTGATGCGTGACTATTAGGCGAGCGCGAAAGCTCCTCACCGAGCTGAACCTGCATGATGAGTGGTTAGCGGTGGTTCGTTAACCACTGGCCAACCAGGAACACATACATAAACTTTACAGGGAAGATAGAACCATGCGCTGGGCAACGCGTTGAGATGTAAACGGCATACTTTGTTCACAAAGATAAATCAGTCGCTCCGCTCCTCAACGCTATGAACCGCTAGTTATTCCTGCGATTCACATAGAGCTGCGCAACCAGAGCTAAGGCACCGGGGATTAAACTCTCATCTTGGTACGGAGTTCTCCATGTAAATATCCTTATAGGTCAGCCTGTATCCAGTTTGAGTGAAAGGAGGTGTGCACAAACCGCATGAGGTGAACTTCAGAGATCAATTTACCGCAGCTTGTGAGGTAACGAGCAGAGGCGCCAGGAGTGTGATTGGTCTGTGCTCTGGCTTTAAAAGCATCAGCTATAAATTTATCTTTAAGGAATAAATCTGCTCCGCCAGTGAAACGCTGAGAGCAACAGAGATGCTTACAGTCCAGCTTAAAATAAAAAAAAAATAGTGATTTTTTTTTTCTTTGTTAATTATTATTTTTCTAAAAACAAAAATGAGCAACACTTAGCCTGGCAGGGGGGCTAGTAAAGCATGGCGGGCCACCAGGCTTATGATACACTGGGTGATACCCTGGTTTCTATTCCGAAACTATATGCAAAAATATGATAAAACTGATTTGTTAATAACATGGTCAAAAAGGCATTATATAGCTGATTCCTTTTGTCTGCTCATGTGTTGCACACTTAAAAATTAATCAGTGTGGTTTTGCGCAGGTTCTTTTATTTCGATGAACGCTGTTGAAACATGAGAACGACAGTGAGCGCCTTCGCTGACCAGCCGTTACTGCGCTTAATTGTCGTTGGCTCGTTGAGTCAGGAGTGCTACTCACTGTGCTCTATGTGCCCACTGGTGGCGAATCGTTGTCACTGCAGTACAGCACATCTCAGCAAGAGAAGTGCAGCTTAAGAGCACAGCCAGCACAAGAAAAATGAAAGCAAATAAACAAAAAAAGAAAATGAAGGGGGTGTAATTACTTCTGATGTCCATTCTCTCGCATGATTGCATCTTGTGTAGTCCTAATGTATGTCTAACTTCAAATATTTACCTTTTTTTTGTTTGTTTTATTCTGATGAAGAAACAGTGCTAATAAACAAAGACCAATGTAATAAGGAAAATCTTTATTGACAATTCTGATTGTTTAAAAGTCCTAGTTGTATCATTTTCTTTATCCAAATGAATGAACATGCCCTGAATGAACGTCAAATCAATGTTGATGTTAAATATTTTTTATATAGTAGTAGTAATAATTAAATTACAATAGTAATCTCTTAATTTGTTTTTTATGAATGCTTGTCCTAGCGATGTCTTAATGACATTATTATTAATAACTATAACAATAATAGGCAAATCAGAGAACATAAAAGCTTAAAATAATTACCTGTTAAAAAGTTACTAATGAACAATAAGTTGTGCATTGCGTTCTGTCTCACTGCCATCAGTTACTCTTATATCTTTTGTTTTGGTTCATTATTTATTAATGCAGTTTAAATATCCTATTTTGTGCTGAATAACCAAAGCAGATCTTCACAGTAACATAGCTAGGTTTCTTTACATGTTTCTCTGTGTTCATCAGAAGTTGCTCCCTACTTGCAAGGAGGAGAACGGGGGCAGCAAGTGGTACTGGAGGGAAACAGGCTGGTGCTGACCTGCCCAGCTGGAGGCAGCTGGCCTTTGCAGTACCGCTGGACTCTGAACAACACTAACATCACAGACTGGACACCACAATACAGGTCAGTTTCTGGTTTTCATGATTCTGATATTGATTCCTCTCTGATCCTGGAATGCATGTTTCTTTCCAACTATTTTTGTAGTCTCTTTGAATAAGTTTTTGAAGGTCAGAGCTTTTAAACAGCAGTACCAAATTCTAAAAATTGATTAATAGAGTTGCATTTGCACCATGAGAATATGTATATTATGTGTTGGGAAAAGAGGAGTAGCATCAATCGATACTTCTGAGTCATTTCTTTGCTTTTCACTCTCCACCTCTCTTCCTCAGTCTCTGTCTCCGTGTCCCAGTGTGAGTTGGAGGTAAAAGTTAAGCAGTGCCTTCTGGCAAAACTGCAGCTGTGAAACAAAATTGTTTTTCTCATCATTCAGAAAGAGGAGGAATCTTCGGAAAGCATACACACTGAGGGAGAAAGAGGTTGAGCCAGCATTTTGTAGGCAGACAATTGTCTAAGCCAGGAGGCATTGTTTAGCACTGGATTGCTCTCCGTGTTCTGACCACTTCAGTTTGAGTCAGACCTATTATGAATTGGCATGGCACTGTGAAAATGAGTGGCCAGTACTGAAATTATAAGCCTGATTCACCTTTATAACTTATACCTTTATGCTTTTGTGCTACCTCAATGTACATTCAAAGTTAATGAGTTGTGTTGTGCTTTATAGCTCAGTTGTTTGTAAGAATTCATTTTGTTGTTCTTGTTTTTCCTTTCTTCATATTGTTTACTTACTTGGATTTTTAACAGTTTTTGTTACATAATAGTTTTTTTCACTGCTCTGCACTTTAATGCTAATTGTGTTAGCTTCAGGTCTGCCAAATGAACTCATTGATCTTTTGATTTTTTTTTTTTTTTCATAGAAAGTATTCCTAAGCAGTGCACTAAAGTTTCACTGTGTCCTGTTATTAGAGGTGCTTCCGTTGCCAATGAGAATTTCTTTCATATTTATGTTTTTCCTTCCCTTTGTGTGGAAAGTACTCCTTAATCTATAATTCCTTCTTTATTTAGCAGTTTCTCTCAATAGAACGTACTTCTAGCCCCGTGCTTGTGTTTAATTGGATTTTTTTCCTGTAGTCATCCCAAATGTTATTGTCTTTATTCCTTTTGTTCCAAAGAAAATACTCCTGCCCTGGTGGTTTAACTTGCATCTCTTTAATGGGACATCTGATAGACCAGCTACTGCAGTAATTTTATGAATACATTTTGGTTTTCCTTCCCATTCAAACAATGTCTGGCCCAGTGACTCTGGATCTCCTTCCTGTTAACATGTTTAACCAGGATTAGTGATTTCTGCAGTCCATGATTCAATGCAGTCAGTCAGACAAACATAAAGACGTTTTTTTGGTATTTTACCATTAGCTGAAATTAAAAGGTATAAAACTGAAATCTTACATAGAATTTGTGGTCTTATTAAGTCTGACTGTTTTGGGTCGATATGACTCAGACATTAATAAGCCGATGAAGTCTGATGAAGTTCTTTGAGGTGACATTTGCTTTTAGTGCTTTACAACTTTATTAAAATAAGAAAGGTTTCATTTTTTTTTAGCAGAAACAAAATCAGTATGTGAATAAGAAAAGGAAACTATTTTCAAATGCATGTGTTACAAGCAAGAATTTAAATTTCAAGCTCTTTAATAGACTAAAATATTAAACTAAAAAAATATGTATCTATTTTGATGTGTATGAGTGTTTCTCCTTGCTGATTCACTGCCATCATTACTCTTGATTACTTCTGACTTTCTGCATCTTATAGGGCATGACTGATTAATAATTGAACATTTGGGGGATTGTGCTTGCAGGTGAAAACCTCCCAGGCCTCCCCAGTTGATGATTAGTGCTGAGGAGTCAAAGTCATTATCAGGCCACCTATTATAACATTGGGATCAAAAATAGTATCCATGAAGTTAAAGCAAAGCAGCTGAACTTATTTTGTCATAGTTGTAACTGACATCTGACATGGCATTTAAATATCTGGCATTCTCAAAGAACTGGGGAGGAAAGTTTTTGCTTCCCCAGCACTAAAATCTGTGAAATCAAGTCCAGTTTCCAGGATGATGTTCAGTGATAGTTTTCTGCAACACAGAGGCAAAAAAGGCTACATCTACAACAAAAAGTTGACATTTAGGCTCATCCAGTCAGAGATCGGCCTCTGGGTACTTGGCTTCTACATGTTTGCCATTTCTCCAACATATTTTGTGAAAACAAAAATAAAAACAGCAGACTCGTTTGCCTTTAATTTAACTGTCTTCTTGTCACACTCACATAAAGTTCATATTTTAAAAAAAGTGTGTAACCCAAAAGGATTTACCCAAAACATACATTTTAAAATGTTGTCCTGGATACTGACCTAATGCATGTAAACTTTTGAATTCAAGGAAAGTTAAAAAATATATATATCTAAAAAATATCCTTGCTAAGTTTACTGGCATTTAGGAAACACAGATACTTTGGATAACTCCAAATGAACTAAAACATCAGAGTTTTGGTCAGATTTAACTTCAGACAGTGAGAATAAATGTGTTTGTGTCTTTTTATTTGGTGTATGTAAATATATGGTTTCAAATGTGGCTGTATGTTGTGTCCTAAAAAGCCATTTTACATATATGATTGGAATGTAATGGCAGGCTGACAGAGATGGAAAGATTTAGTATTAGACGGCTTCCAACATGAAAATCTGTTTCTGGATTAGAATTGCTGTGTAATGTGTCATTCCTGATTCGAGCTGTCTCTGCGGCTTTGATGTACATGCGTGCCTGCTTGTCTGTGCGTGTGTTGGTGTTGTGTATGTTGGCAGCACATTTCAACAGCCTGGGAGTTAAGTACTTGGCTGTCCTGATATTCATAATGAGCCCCAAAGTGGTGTCCAGTTTGACTGTGTTTATCCAGCTTCTGCGTGCATGTGTGTGTCTATGTGCTCTTGTGTCTGTGCATTTGTCCGGCATGGCAGCAACCTAGATCCGATGCCAGCTCCTCCATTAGTGAGGTGCTGTGCATTAAAACCCCATTAACAGCCCTTCTCCAGAAGAAATACATGGGCACAGTTAAACCCCCCCCAAAATATTCAAGCACCCACATATGTTTGTTCTCACAAAACACAAAGAAATGCAACCCAGCAACCACAGGGCCAATCTATTTCCTCTATCAAGGTCATGGATGCAAACGCCCAAACAGACCTCCTTCTACTTCCTAGAAGCTTCCTTTTGTTATTATTTTTCCACAATTCTGAGAAATGCACTCAGTCTCAGAGCTATCTTCTTTATCTCTGTTGTCATTTAGGTTGTCTGTGCCATCTCTGCAGAGGGCTGATGCTGGCTTGTATCAGTGCATGGTGAGGAACAGGATGGGGGCTGTAATACACAGGAGAACAGAGGTACAAGTTGCCTGTAAGTATATGAACATGCACACATTAATCTAAACTCTACTCATAATTGCGGGTGTGTACATCGCTCTGCAGTTACACCACATTCTTAATAGGCAATTGCTAAATAATATTTGAATAGCATAATGTTTCCAACTTTTTAACTGTCTAGCTTCACCTGGTGAGCAACGTTTATCCTAGAACCCATTTCTATTATTTCGTCTTAAAAGGGACCACAGGATATTTTTAATGGAAGTCCAGATTTATGGCCTTCATATTCATTTTCATTCATACTTGAGTAGGGAATTATTTTACACAGTAAAATAAAATACAGTCCCAGTGAGGAGTTGATTTTAGTACAGCAAAAACTCTACAATAAAAAAGGGGACTGGAATTAGGACAGTCTGGATGTACAGTGGACTCCTAGTATTCATGCAGGTCAGGGACCACCAGGGGAGGCTGGGTGTTTAGAGACCTTTTATTCTACCTCGCAATGTAAGAAAGTGGAACCATGACAAAGCATAAGAACTTTAATTGCAGTATGAAAAACTGGGTTGTTTTTTTCAATGATAAAAACTATTATTTTGATAATGTATTCAATGACAAAATTAAAAATAAAAGTAAGTCAACAAAAGCCTATTAAACATGCAGCTTATAAAAGTCACAGCAAGCTCCAAAGCTAAACGAACCAAATGAATAGGTTTTTAGACTGGTTTCAGGTTTGGATCACTATACTTTGGTCTGAACAGGTTGATATAACACTATACATTCATCTCCTTCTCCTCACTCCTGCAGTTTATGACTGATCATCTTGTCCCTCTTTTACAACTCCACAGTCACAGCTGATACTGTCCTTGTCTGCTCCTGAACAGCAACAATGACACATTTTATAGCACTTTTGCAAAAAGAAACAACTCAACTTAATAAAAGTGCTAAACACACAGGAATTGAACTACTAACTTCATTTGTATTTTGAGTTCCTAAAGAGAAGCTATACATTAATGAAAAAACAGAACGGGGGGGCTAGATATATAGCATGTGTATTCAGTTGTTATTTTTTTCACTTCGAACACAGACTTTGTCCTAATTCTTTTTTTTCTTTTGTAATCAAAAAATGCAAGGCTTTTTCTGACCAACCAGTAAGGATTGGTTGATGCCTGCTCAATATGAGGGATTGCTGTAAAGTTGACGACACAGCACAACTCTAGGTACTCGTCCAAGAGGAATGAATCCATTGACATATTTCTATGCTTAAATAGAAACTTTATGTACTTAGAATAATTAATTGAGTATGCTGTACTGTTTGATAACTAGGACCAATTAAAATGTATGTATGACTGAATTGAAATAATTTTTTTGTAAAGTGCCTTGAGATAACATTTGTTGTGAAGTGGCACAGGGGTGCCGCCAGGAATCGTGGGCCCCCTGACAAAAAATTTGTTTGGGCCCCCCTGCGCAGCTGCTGTTACAATTTTTTGAGTCTATTTGACCCATAAAAAGCATCACAATTTTAAAGGCCTGCATCTGCCTTGCTTTCTTTGGTTCAATACTGATAACTAGTACAATATTTACTGCTCATGAATTTAACATACAACAATCCACATCCAGTATGCAAGTAGGTTGCTTAAATTTTTTCTTAGTTTTAGATTACTAAAATGTCTCTCCCCATGAGCAACAGTCAAAAGCAATGTGCAACTACACATAAAACAATCCAGACTTCTCAAAAATGATATGTAGTTGCATTTTATGCAAGCTGCAGTACATAACTTTAATAAAAAATATGTTTTTCTCCATATTTGTTGAAGCTGTCACAATGTCGTAGCAGTTTAAGAGACAGATAATCTGTGAAAAGCTCAATCTCCTCCACCTGAACTACTATTGTTAGCTAAAGTAATACACCGTTCTGACAAAAAAAACAACAACAATTAGAACCAGGAGGAGGGTCTTAGCACTGTCAATTATCCTCATTCACTCACTGCTAATGTGCTAACGGTGGAGAAACAACTTATCATTACAAGAAACCGTTTATCTGCCGTCATTGTAGCTATGCTAACTAAACTGATCATTCACAGTTTGAATCTGCACAGCTCTGTGCTATGCTAGCTGCATCACGGCACAAATCGAGGAAGAGGAAGGATGAACAGCATCACATGAGATTGTGATTGACAGCACTAAAACTCTCCTGCCACTGACAGGTTGTTTCTAGCACTGGGAGAAGGCAGAGGGAATAAATTTTTCACAGATTATCTCTCATACCATACTGTCACAAAATAACTTTTCTCTCTTGCTCTCGGTGAAGGCGGACGCTTTTTTCCTCTGCTCCCTCCCTCCCCTTGTCTGCCCTGCTGCCCTGTTTTTGTCCTGTCTTTTTCTATATTTTTGGAGCCTATCTTTGCACATCATCCAAATCTACAAATCATGGATCTGGTCAACCGATCTCTCAATGCAATTAATCAAATTTTCGATGAGAAGTCTGGACACAGGAGAGCCCTCTTGTCTTTTTTTACACACCTGGCAGGATTCACCCTGGATTTATTCATGATAACAGGATTTCTGCTGTTTGGAGCTTGTGGATTCCTGGATTATCGACAAATTTGTGACATACTTGGCCGAACTAGCGAACACTCAGACTGTTGGTGTGGACAGAGACGAGGACTCTAAAACTCACTAACCGGATGGAATCGATCTTGGAGAAGTTGCTAGTTTCGGCTCAGTGGAACGACCAAACTAATTTGGATGATTGGGAACTGAGATGTATCAGAGAGACTTTAGGGAAGATTGAAATTTATAATCTACCCAACCTAAGACATTCTGTTTCTGAATTGGCTTTCCCCATGTGGCCTTGGAAGGGCTGCATATTTCCAATCTCCTTGAAGATATGTAAACATAAAGCTCCTTCCCACCTCACCCCCTCCTGTATCCATGGAGCTGAGCGCTCCCAAGGACATTCCTAGATAACAGCAAATCTATCGGACTTTACCGGGAGGCTGGGCAACCTGGTTTCATGGCCCTTTGACGTCACCGCCTTCACTCATGCCTTTGCTTTGCCCCTTTGTTTTGTCTGAATGTTGCCATTTGCCCTAATGTGTCCTTTCCTCT